TCCACTCACCCAGGAGATGCGCTGCATAGCTCACACTGCTCTTCCAGCACCCTCCCTGTGTTCCTGGAAGCCTTGTGTGGAGTGTCTCAGTCCCATGCCCCCATGCTCCACGCCCTCGTTTTCCTGGTGAACTCGGAAATGCACTCCCAAAGCAAGCATCCACTGAGACACTTTTATCTCGCCGTTTCCTTCCAAGCTTGACTGATGTAGCTAATTCATATGTTTGGCATTGCAGCGAGGGGACAGAACAGACGTTTTCTTCCAAGAGGCGGGACAAAAAGAAACGAAAGCACTGGGACATAGCTTCTTTTTTCTGAAAGTCACAAAATCAGCAGCAGAAACACAGTTCATGACCTGTTACTGACACCCCTATAATTAGAGGTTTTGAATGTCTGTCTGTAGCCAGAGAGCATCTTGCCATCTCTGTTTATAGTGCATACAGTCTTGCACGTAGTAGGGACTCAGATTCTTAATGTCTTATATATTTTTTAAGTTAAAAAATCTTCTGCCCCCCCCACTCAGAGAGATGCACGCTTGTGTGTGTGTGTGTGTGTGTGTGTGTGTGTGTGTGTGTGTGTACATTCTCATGCATCATGACTTCTTTGTGAAAGCAGAGGACAACCACTGGGAGTTACTTCTCAAGCTCAGGTTTGTCAGACACTGTGTCAGGCACTGTTACCCACTGACCATCTGACCAGCCCTCTCCACCATAGTTTTTGAGAAAAGGTGTTTTCTGAACCCAGAGCTCCCCAGTTCTGTTAGACTAACAGACCAGGAAACCCAGGACGTGAGTCCACCTCCCCTGTTCTAGGATTGCAGGTGTGTGCCACCATGCCCAGCTTCGTGTATGGGTCCTGGGGATCTGAACACAGATCCCCATACATGGGCAGCGAGTACTTGGCTGAGTGAGTCATCTCATCCACTGGGCACACTCTTGCCTATGTGAACCTCTGACCCCTCTGTGCATGCTGCCCCAGGGCTAACATTCCAATCCTTTCTCTGAGTGGTGGGTTCTCATTATGTGTTTTATTATGTTTGAAAGACTGAGTAGTGTTCAAGAATATATGTATGTATGTATGTATATATATATATGTTTATATATGTGTGTGTGTGTGTATACACACATACATATATTTTAGTATATCAAATGCAATCAATTCTAAGTTTCAGGCAAGTGTCAGTTATAGAGAAATGGCTATAAAGTGGTAGTTTAATCTTGCAGAGGACAGATTATATTGGAAAGGACAGAAATACAATGTATCTTGAAGTGTGATAAAATTTGACCTCTTAGCATGTATTATGTAATATAAAATCTTTTGGCTCACCAGAAGCCCGTTATGAAAATTATGAAAATGAAGCAAAGAGCCACAGCCTAGGAGAATATATATGTATGTATGTATGTATGTATGTATGTATATATGCTGGAGAACTTGTAACAAGTATATATAAAGAATTTCTTCTGAGTCTGGGGAGGTGGCTCATTTTGTAAAGTGCTTGCTGTGAAAATATGAGGACTTGAGTTTATACCCCTGCACCCATGTAAATGTTAGTCCCAGCAATGCTCTACATCCCCAGGGCTAGGTGGCAAAGAGGAGTACAGTCTTAAAACATAAGGTGAAGAGTGACAGGAAGACACGTGACAGCCACCAGTGACCTCCACATATATAAGCACAGATATGCCCACCCCCACATATGTGCACACATGCTCATACCAAACACACATACACACCCACATTTCTTTAGCATCTTTGAAAAATTAACTCAATTTTTAAAAATGCATTTAGCCAAATAGAAACAATTAGAATAGCCAAAAAAGCAAATGGGGGGGGAAAAAAAAGATTTTTCTTTGGTCATGCATGGGAAAAATGCAAATCTTAAATATGATCTATGTACCTTATCCACTACAGAAAATGAATGAAAGCCAAAACCCAGCTCTGTAACGGGAGTAACAGACCACTGCCCTTGTTAGAATCAACTTTGGTAAAAGGCGAGGCAGCACCTTTAAAAAGTCAACTGTTCTTCCCAGTGCTGGTAATCAAACCCAGGGCCCTGTGCAGGCTCAACTAGGGCTCTGTTACTGAGCTACGTTCCCAATGTTTTTATTTGTTTTGTTTTGGTTTTGGAGGGGGAACAAGACAAAGCAAAAAAAACCACTAAACACATTTTGTTCTTAAATTTGTTAGGCAAATTTTTAAAAATTCAGATATGGAAAGGAAGAATAATCTCATGATTTTACACTTACCAAAAAAAAAAAAAAATCCCAAGGACTCCATAAAAAAGAAAGACTGTAGAGGGGCTGGCAAGATGGCTCAGCAGGTAAGGGTGAAGTTTGCTCTCTGGAACCCTCATGGGGGAAAGGACCAGCCCCTGAAAGTTGTCCTCTGGCCTACACACACACACACACACACACACACACACACACACACACACACACACACACACACACACGCCGTGGCACCTGAATACTCTCCTGCCAAGAAACAGATATCTTTAAAAAGGATTGTATGAGTTCATAAATGAGTTCAGCAAGGATGTAGGCTTCGAGGTGCCCATGGGCATCTTGAAAACCAAGAATCAAGTCAATGACTGTGACTCACCTGACAATTTCAAACCCCTTGCCAAAAGACAGACATATAACTTAATTTGTATTTGACTGCTTCTAAGCAGTGTCTGAGTATGGCTGTGTACACAAGAGTACAGAAACCGCAAAGCCCATAGGCGTTGGAAGGCCCTGCGGCTGGAGCTATAGTATTGTGAGCTGCCTGACATGGGTGTTGCCAACTGCACTCAGGTCCACTGCAAGGACACCCTGCATGTTAGCTGATGAGCCATCTCAGCCTCCTGCTTGGCCATTTTTTGTCAAAGGTGCCGAGACAATGCTGCAGCTCGAGTATTTTGAACTAGTGCTGCTGGGACAACAGGGCAGCCCACCTGAGCGAATGGAACCAGGTTGCTATCTCATACCACAAAGCTAATTCAAAATGGATTGTACAGCTCACGGGAAAGGGTGAGACCACAGAACACTTAAAAGAAGGCAGAATAAACCCCAGGATTTCAGGCTAGGCATGGGATTCCCTGAAATTCCCCCAGGGGGACATCAAAAGACACCAAATGATGAGGATACGTTTCAGAAGGGCGCTTACAATCTACTTTTCAAGTAAATCTTAAAAACATTTGAGGAAAGAGTGAATATTATGAATGGACACATAAATATGAAGGGTACATACATAATGAGCTAATAGTGTTCAGAAGGAAGGGAGGGTGTAAGGAGCTAAATAAAGACTTATGCAGTATCTGCAATGTTGTTCCTGGAGGGCGGGGGAATGTCTGGGAAACAAATAGGGCATAATGTCAATATTTGTTAGATGCAAGTAAATAGTTTATAGTTTGGCAAATTACATTCTTATCATGAGCCTTCATTGCTAACACAGCACAGGGCAAAATGGAGGTGGATGAGATGGACATGAACCTGAATTAGTCCCCCAGGAAGTATTCTGGAAATGGCTTTGAGATTAAACCCACAATATCAGCCTCCTTATTCACCACTGCTTTGATTCGAAGCTGGAGTTCGAACAATTACTGGAATTTTCCACTTGCTTGCATCCTATTCAAATAGATATGGCTTGTGTTTATTTCTCTCTCTCTCTCTGATCCTAAATTTGTTTTCATCAAATTTTCCCAAGCTAAGCCTCTTCCTTTTGTTGTTTTCTTTTCCTTAAATCTGTAGCTTCTTTCAAGCGGCTATAAAGGACCATTTTTCCCTTTGCTCATAACTCAAGTGGCACTGTCTTTAGTGCAGTCTTCAACTATCATCTTTAGCCTGGGTGGTGTACTTGCATCTTCTATTGTCTGGAGGGAGGGTAGACTTAAGCTCCCAGGTGCTGACAAGCTGCAGCTGTTATGAAAAAGAGGTACCAATGCCTCTACAGCCAGAGCTGGCTAGGTTCTCTGTTAACACACATTTATAATGCACATCAAAGTTCCCATGCTAGCTCCCAGGCTCTTCTGGCCCACAGTCCCTACTACTCTAACTTCCAAGTCTTGCTTACTGACTTCCTCTTGCTGCAAACATACCCCTTTAAAACTGGCAGGGCTTTCCCCAACATTCCTTAATTTCCTATAGTTCTTTGTGTAGGGTTGAGGCCTCACAGGCTTTCCCCAGGCCACTTTGACACGTCTATTATTGTCTTTGTTCTTGTTGGTGACACACAATTGGTGCAGCTTCTGACTATCCTAGGAGAAACAATCTCACACCAAACTCCATGTTCCTCAGACACTTGCAATCTTTCTGCCATTTTATTAGTAAACTATGAAAGACAATGTTCCAGCCATCTTTATTATCAATAAGGATATTGATGAACCAAAAAAAATACATACATGTATACTGTACCCACATCATTTTCACTCCCAAACAACAGTACTAGATGTCATTATTAAGCATCTTCCACAGGGAGACAGTGTTCTATAATAGCATGCAAGGGTGCTTTGTTAAACTGACAATCCTCTGTGAGAAAGGAAATCTCATCTCCCCTATGCCAATGGGGACATAAGACAGAGGAAGGAAACAGTATACACAAATAAATACTGGTAAAGAGGCAGAACTGGAGTCATCCCCAGCTGTGGCTCTCAGAAAAGCATCCTCCATCAACACATGTTATTTCCCTCCCTTGACATGGGCAGAAAGATGTTGGCTTGTTCTTCCCCACAATCCATTGGACAAAGTAGGGTGATATTTAAGTCCTCAAAAACCAATTTGATTTTTGGAGAATGATACTGATAAGACACACACACACACACACACACACACACACACACACACAATTATTTTTTAAGATTTATATATAATCACATCCTTTCCCCCTTCCCAAACCCTCTCTCCAAACCCTTTAGTATACCCATCCTTGTCCCCTATCTGTTGTTAGTCCAGAAGACTGCTGAAACATTGCTCATATAGCCATGTACCCCAGCAGCAAAACCCCTCCTGAATAATAGAAATATACCTGGATAGGGTCCTGTGTCAGTCTCATGGGTCCAATGCGTACCTCCGCTGAAGACACCTGCTAAATAAAGAACAACGCATGAGCAGTGCCAAGTCTTCAGAATATAGATTGCTAAATCAATCCTTACACAGTAGACTATATTATGCCACTTCATAAATGATGCAAGAACCTAACTCACTGACCTGGAGAGATTTAAGAAGCATCCTAAACAATCCTTTCCCACCCATTTATGAGAATCTGTACACCGTATGCACTGGGAATGTCTATAAGGCTGTACCCGGTGATAAATGGCAGGACTTTGGGGGTAGCTCTACTTCAGGCCCAAGGCTTTTACCTCAAGCCCAAAGCATGATCTGTTTTATTGGAGAAAACAATTTGATGGTTATTTACTGAGCACCTACTATGTAACAGGAGCATCATTAACATAGCTATACTATATTACTATACCTACTGATATTCTGATATTCCAAGATTTGAACATGCTAGAGCATGCCTACTGATTAGAGCTGCCTCTATACTCACACTTCTTTTTCTTTAGGTTTTAGCATGAGGAATAAACAGCTAATTCTTACTTGTGTGTATCATGGATCCCACCTCCATCTTAGTGGTATTCCCTCAAGGGGACACAAAGCTACCACACCAGGACCACGAAAAGGCTAACCTTTGCTCAGGCTCCTCGGGTAAATGGGAGCTCTCAGTTCTTCACTAGTCCATCCTACCTCGTTACCCTTGGCTGCAGTGGAGAGAAAATGCACATTTGCCTTAACTTTTAATCACTTTACTTGAATTTCTAAAGCTGACTTTTCTCCAGATGAATTTGGCTAAAGGTCTGGACCTCATCTCCATGGATCCGATTCTGTTTTTCTCTAGGTGGCTTCAGGGATTTGGCACTTGGAAGGCCGTCCTGTTTGAAACACATCATGTTGGCTATGGTCTGCCTGAAGAAACATCATCAGCAAGCATCATGTGACCAAGAACAGGGCAGTGACCCTGACCAGGCTTGAACCATTGAAAAATGACAAGAAAAGTACACCTTTCTGGTCTGGGGGTGTGGTCGGTTGGTAGACAGCTGGGACACATGAGGCCCCAGGGTCTAGTACTACACAAACAGGCATAGCAGTGTAGGGTCATCCTTGGCTACAACAGCTGGAAGACAGCCTGGCGTGCATGGGATCCTGCCTTAAAACCCAAAACTAAACAATGACAGCAGAAACGCCAAGGTAGAATTGTAAATTATACTTTGAAAGATCCAAACTATTTCCTTTCTCCCCTTTCCTCTGCTTCCCCATATTTAACTCTGGGCACTCAAGCTGTAGATCCCCCTCTAATGTGTCTCGATTCTTTTCTCTGAAGGGTGCATTTTCCACTTCACTTCAGACCTCATCGTTAGGAAATAAGGCCAGTAGGAATCCAAGGCCCAAGAGATGACCAGCAGTTTAAGCCCCACAGCCCAAGGACTTTGATTCCCAGAACTCAAATACAGGCAAAAGGAGAGAACTCCCCCCCCCCCCTTAAAGTTGTCCTCTGACCTCCACATGAGTATGTGCACACACCCCTAATAAATAAGAATTTAAATGTAAGAAAAATGAAGTATCTAAGGAATAAAATAAAAAGGGCTTTCTTCGGGAGGCCAAGATTAGGCTGAGGAGGCTGAGGGTAGGATACCTACAGGAAGAAAAGGATTTGCCATCTTTGATGCATTGCCTTATGTGCTTTGGCGAGTCCCCATCAGGCACATGATATGTGACCCTGCTATCCTACCTCAGTGGTGGGAGGCAGCTAGTTTAAAACCTACCAGGAAGCTGGGCAGTAGTGGCACACGCCTTTAATCTCAGCACTTGGGAGTCAGAGGCAGGAGGATCTCTGTGAGTTCGAGGCCAGCCTAGTCTACGAGAATACTCCAGGACAGCCAAGGCTACACAGAAAAGCCCTGTCTTGAAACAACAACAACAAAAACTAAAAACAAAACAAAATCTACCAGGAGACAATATTGTGACTGTGAATATTCCCTACCTCTCTGACTCAGGCATTGTGCTAGGTGTGGCCTTAACAGGCGACCAAGCAATGGCCATTGATGGATGGCACATTTTTAAAGGTAACACTTATTCTAGAATATACTACTTCCTGCCTCAAGACAGGAGAGACCACAGCCACTATGGTCCCTAGTCACCTCTACACTTTGACCTCTGCGTGGGCCATCTTGGCAGAAGCCAGGCTATAACTCTCAGTAAGTGGAATACAGATCCAGGTCCTGTCTCAGGTTTCTAACTAACTGTCCCTACTTATCTCCTCCCATCCCCTTGTCTGTATGTCCCCACCCAGGACTGTTACTTCAGCTTGGATGCCTCAGCTAACCAACTCCTCTTGTCCCAACTCATACTTTGCTTCATGCCTCTTTCCTTCTTAGTCGATGCTCTGGGTCATCTGACCCTGGCCTCATTACCCACACAGGTCAGCTGTCTCACCGAAACCTGGTTCTTCAGGATGGCCTGAACAGTGAACAGCAAAGGACAGCTGCAATACTTTGCAAGGCTCAGTTTCAGAGTGCACCAATTCATCACACATACGCAGATGCCTGCGTGGCCAAGTCAAGTCTACTTCAGAGGCTGAGCTTTAAGCAACTGAACATGTATAGGTGTGTAAGTTGGCTCTGCCTGCAGGACCTGAGCACGTTTGTCAGGGACAGAGAAGCCAAACCAGGCACAGGACCATAGACCACGAAATACTGTTGCTCTGGAAGAGGGAAGGATGGGACAGATGGAGATGAGATAAAATTCTAGGCCACTTTGACCACATGGCTTCCCCAATCACTTACTGAGAACAGTGTATGCTTAGTCATACTGCACAACACTTGCCATGTCATACATTTGTGGGCATGCATGTATGTGTAGACTAGAATACACCTATAACTGCATGCTTGTTGACAGGGCCATCAACTCCCCTTCAGGCAAGTTACTTCTCCGGGATAGATAATAAAGAACTGGGCATTTTCTCAACCTGGCCATGGATATTGGTTATGCTGGCTTAAAAAGAGAGACCCTTGGCTCTGCAGCTGGGAACACACCTGTCTATCCCATGAGAGTTGGTGAGTGGTGAACTCCTTTAGTCTTTATTGATCTGCAAATACCCACTGCTTATTTTTATTTGACAGTTTAGTTGAATATAGAATTATGCCTGCGTGATATTCTCCCTTAGACTTTGAAGTTGAGACAGAAGAGATAATTCTGGTTTGGGGGAGATTGAAGAAGCATCCATGAAGTCAGGCAAGCCATGAAGAATAGTGAGAGAGTAGGCTGAGGAGGAGAGTCTAGTCACGGAACAGCCTACTCACAGGCAGGAAGGCGGAGGCGCACGGCGGGGGGGGGGGGGGGCGACACAGTGTTCAGAATGGCTGTGTTACAGTGCATGAAGGGGAAGCTGGCGAGGGGGATGTGTGGCACCAGAGAGGAGCCTTTTCATTGTGGAGGCAACGGTCACCATAGTGTAGGATTTCCAGTTACCATGCTCGAGTTTGTGAGAAGAAAACTAAACATTTGGCTTGGCCACTTCCTAAACAGACAGGAACAGAGATTTAACAACAACAAAATGGCACAAAGCAAAATATTTGTCTGAGTGGGAACTACTGACAGGGCGAAAAGCAAATGGGGAAATAGGTCATGGTGACCAGACAAAAGGGTGCGTGGAGGAAGGACACCTCTTGACTTCCCTTCAACAGGACTGAGCTCCAGCACATTGCCTCACAGCTCAGCATGGGTATGAGAGAAAGTGCAGCTACTGAACCTCGTTCATTCACCGTTCATGGTGGTACCGTCTTGTACTGATTGACATAACCCTCAGTGGTTTCTGCTCCTGGAGACTTGGTGAGTAACTTGTCATCGACTGTTACAACTGTCCTCACACCGGAAGGAAGATTCGGGAGTAAAAGCTCCTCCCCACCCCGCCACCTCCAAAGCTCTGCAGATTGCTCTTCCTTTCGTTCTGCTCTTCTTTGGCCCCCGTCTTAAATATTAAATAGCACTTAACCATCTTAAGATGCCACCGAACCACCATCAGTCCTTGTGCCAATTTGGTTGTGGTGCCTCTGCGTCTTGAATGGACTCCCTCCACCCTCCAGCTTCCAGGAAGAGAGACCCCCCAACATTAAAAGCATGTAGTAACACCATGTGAACCCGGGAAGCCAATCCCAACCCTATCTCACTTTGAATATCTCCTTTTGATAACTATGTTCATTACCTCCGGACACCCTCTACTTCTTATCATCCCCTCAACCATGGCCTATCTGTTGGCTGTGCCATCACACTAGCCTCTAGCACTCTGCTGGCTTTGATCTGGCTGTTGGCTCTCCAGTACTTCCTGGCACCTCTGAAATCCTGCATACTTCAGAGCTCAAGAGGTTGATGGGAGGCCCTTGATTTCCTTCCCTTCCCACTCCTATCTCTAGTCTAGACATTCTGTATCTGCCCCTTACATAAGAAACCACCAGGGAGACTTTTTAAATGAACCAATTCCTGCTTCCAGCTCTACAGGAAGAGAATCCAAGGACAGGGCCCTAACAGCAGTACATTTTACCTCTGTGAGTACACGAGGGTTAAGAGGTTCGAGTCTCCTCTTCTGAGCAGACATGTCAGTCACGGAGGTCCCTTTCATAGCCTCTCTCACAAACTCTATTACATGCACCAATAGGTACAGTATGGAAGCTCCAAAGTCCACCCACACTCAGCTGTTGAACCTGAATACAGACACAGGTTGTTTATGATCAGACAAGGGAAGATTCTTGGAGAGTTATCCATGCAAAACAATATCCCTAAATTATAACGAAGATCAATATGAGTTCTTTATTGTCCATTATTTCTTACACATATATATATAGGAGAAGGTGAGTAAAAGTCAAAGGTGATAGGCAATATTCTTTGTGTTTTAGGCCCTGATGCTTTGGGTTTTATGTTATATATGTTTTTTATCACATAGACATAAATATAGAAACATCATCTTATCAAAAGATATGATCATTAAAAAGAAGGTTAACCAATTTGACTTTAAAATTATAACTTCTATTTACC